TACCCTAAGCTTCTTTGACAACCCCAGTAGTCACTGCCACAGCTGCCTTCACACAGGCCCTCTCCATTTCTAGTCTGAACAGTATCATAGTTTATTGTGCCCCCTCACCACCCCCCCTTGCCTGGTCTCTCATCCCTTCCTACTAGAATGCACTCTCTTACATGCACATCTGATCATGTCATCTTAATTGTTTGCCTCTTTGCCATCTGCATAAAATTCAGACTCCTTACTATGAAAATACAAAGTTGATGCTAACTTCTCCCTTCTTGATCTATCTTCCAACCTTGTGGGGTTAACTTTGTTCTTGGGTAGAATATGCTCCCTGCTGGTTCTCTTCCTCCCAGTCTTTGGCTACACCCATCCCTCAGAGCAAATCCCTACTGCATAGCTTCCAGGAAGCTGGTTTTCCCTCACATCTCCTTCCCCAGCAGGATAGGTTTATGCTCCACTGCATCTTGAGCTTATCTCAAATGCTAGCACTAATCACTCTGTATTGAAATAATTTCCTACACTACATCTTCCCCAAACCTGGAGTTTTTGGTGAGAACAGGCTGGGTTTATCTTGTAACATCAGGATGTAACATAGTGTAGTTGCCTCATATTGTGAATTCATGATGAATGCAGGTGCTCCAACTCAGAAGTGAATAAATATTCAGCACACTGGAAAATCTAATCATGCTGCTGAAGACAGTTCTATGGAATATATACCTTTTGATTGAACTCTGAAGTAGCTAGGTAATGATTGCTTTTATTGGAAGCACTAAAATATTGGGATCCCTGGGTGGCGCAGCGGTTTGGTGCCTGCCTTTGGCCCAGGGCGCGATCCTGGAGACCCAGGATCGAATCCCACGTCGGGCTCCCGGTGCATGGAGCCTGCTTCTCCCTCTGCCTATGTCTCTGCGCCTCTCTCTCTCTCTCTCTCTCTGTGACTATCATAAATAAATAAAAAAAAATATTAATAGTAGTGATCTCTGGTAGTTTTCCCCTGGATGATGTCTTTGTCTTAATTTTTATATTTCCCCAAATTCTGTATAAGGAGCCAAATGGATTACATTTATAACTAGAAACAAAGGTTAAGAAACATTATATGTTATTTTGCATTTGCATTTACCTTTATGGCAAATGTGTGCAGAGCAAAAAGACTGGAATAAAGTCCTTAAGGGGTGATCAGTGGTTTTCTCTAGAATTGGATAAGAGGTGACTTTTTCTTTTTCCTTCTAATTTGCATTTTTCCTGTATGAGTATGTATTCCTTTTATAATAAAAAAGTTATATTTAAGTATTTAAAAATTAAAGAACATGATTTAATAATTGGAATAGTCAAATAATCAAACCACCTTCTATCAAGAGATTACTGAACTTACTCAAATCATTTTTATTGTCAAGCCACTTAGTTATTCTGAGAACCCATGGAAAACAACATACATACAAGAATCTATCATTTAAAATGGAAAAATATAACTCTACAAATTATAAATCTAAAAAAAATTGTCTTAGACTTTTTGGAAGTTAAGTGTATCATTGGACTGGGAAGAGAACCTAAGTCCAGTTGTGAATTATAGAGTTGGTTTTTAATGGAATGTAACTATTTCTGTTGCCAAATCTATTATCCTTTGGTACATGATACACCAGAGATTAAAGTTCCATATATTTAGTAAAATATTAGTAAAAAATTAGTAAAATTAGTAAAAATTTAGTAAAAATTTACTGTGAAGCAGTAAAAATAGCTTTAGTCATAATTTATACAGGTGCATATTTATAAGTAGAGCATAAATATTTGAGAAAAAAGCAAAGAGAAAGGTAGAAACCAACATTATTTTAGAATTTCTTTTTATTTTCTTCTTTAAATCCATATGCTTTGCATTTATTATGAATTAAAACTAAACACTCCTTCACTATCAAACAAGACTTCTCTCAATTGCATTTGGTGAGAATGGAGTAAAAATCAGTTGATTATGGTTATTTATTGAAAAGGAGATTAGATATTAGTTTTTAGCCATTATGAGTTGTCTTAAAGTTCTTGAATATTATCAATTATCAATCAACTATATTATTAATTATTGATAATATTGAATTGAAAATATGATTTACAAACTCATCAATTATTTTCATGAATGATTAAATGTCAGAGTAGACACTTCTAAAGTGTCCTCTAATCTGAGGCCTGAGAATGCTATCCTTAGAGCTACACAAATGCTAATACTTAGACACGGAAGGCCAGCAATGATTGAACAATGGAAACATGGATGTACTTAGTACTTCATAGTGGGCTGGATAATATTTATTGTCCCACTGTGTCCTCAACACAATTCTATGAAGAAAGTCTATTAGAGTAGTCAACACCTTGTAATCTTAGCTGCTTATAACCTACCATGACAGAACCTCTTTCTGTCATGTCCATTGACAGGCAGTTCTGGACCTTGCTCTGTGTGTCCTGGGCTGACAGAAGAGCCAGCAGCAAAGGGAAGTGGAGCTTAAAGACTCTCAAGCCTCCGACTCAAAAAAATTGCAGCCTGGCCATGACAAACATTACTTATGCTCACAACTCATTGTTCACCACTAGTTGCCCAGAACCACCCAACCATAAGAGGGCAGGACAGGAAGTACAGTCCTACAGTGTGTGGGGACAGTCAGGAAATATTGGTGAATAGTACTAGCCACTACTACGGTGAGTGAATGTCACTAATTTACACAGGAGGAAACAATCTGCGAGAGGTCAGTTTGCCAAATCATATAGCTAGTAAGTGAAAGGGCTGAGATGCTATTAAGGAATTAAGTGTGAATTCCAAGCCTACCAATTCTATGCCATCTAGAAAGACATAGATATATTAGAAACTGAACAGAGATTAGCAGGTATCTCACTGGTCTCACTTTTGTGAACTCTGAAATCCCTTACCTATACTTCCGGCTGCCTGCCTCAAAAGCTGGAGACTAAAAATAGTGACTTTTTTTTTTTTAAGATTTTATTTATTTATTCATGAGAGAGAGAGAGAGGCAGAGACACAGGCAGAGAGAAGCAGGCTCCACGCAGGGAGCCTGATGTGGGACTCGATCCCAGGACTTCAGGATCACGCCCTGGGCCGAAGGCAGGCACTAAACCGCTGAGCTATCCAGGGATCCCTGTGACTTTTTTTTTTTTAAAACCAGAGCTGAATTCCTTATGCTAATGTTCTGGCCCATGGAGTTCTTGGGTAATTTATTGACTATCAGGAGCAATGTGACTTGCAATGACTTGGAAGATGTTGTTAGCAAGATAAAGCCAAATAACCCTCAGAAGAGTCAATACTATCCATCCAATTTGCTTCCGTGATGTGTGTTTTTCATTAAGATGACTTACAGACAGGGCTGTTGCTTGCTGTAACTCCAGGAGCACAGTTCATATAGTACCCTGTGGTCCTGGCATAGGGTTGTGCAATGCATTGTTCAAAAAACATCTGTCCTCCTCCAGGGCACATGTCCTACTTTCCCTCTGATTTCAGCCCCTCTCCTCCATGGCATTTCACCTCTTATTAAGTAGGTTTTAGAAGGGAGGAAATTATCAGTAAAGCATTGAGAAGTCTATACAAATTTTGCCTTCCTGTTGAGGGAGGACTTAGCCAATGAAAGTTCTGTCATTTCCCTTTTAGCAGTTGACAACTTGTGACTTTCAGCACCTGCTGTAGATGGTGCAGCACCAAGCAAAAACACATTCACATTGCTTCTACATAATCTCCAGGAAGTGATCTCCACCTAGGCCGCACAAGAATACCCCAGGTGTTTTCAGAAAATCCCCCTGCCCTTTTCCCCACCCTTGGGATCTGATTTGATTGGCCTGGGATAGGGCCACGGATAGTTTACAAAGCTTCTCAGGTGGCTTTAATAGTAGCCTCTGTTGAGAATCACTGATGTAAGAAATAGTTAAAAAGTATTCTGAGACAAGATTGCTACTATGAAGTTCAACTTCCTAGACGACTGTACATTGGAGAACTATAACAGTGCTCTGTGAAAAAACAACAAAGAAAGATGAACCGTAATAGATTTTATTACTGCACCTACCAATTTGGTGTCTGGCCCACAATTTTGCCGAAGCTCATTAGTACAGCCACATTGCCAAATATGTTAGATCACTGGTTCTCTCTCTTTTTTTAAAGATTTTATTTATTTATTCGTGATAGGAAGAGAGAGAGAGAGAGAAAGAGAGAGAGAGGCAGAGACATAGGCAGAGGGAGAAGAAGGCTCCATACAGGAAGCCCAATGTGAGACCCAATCCCGGGACTCCAGGACCACGCCCTGGGCCAAAGGCAGGCACTAAACTGCTGAGCCACCCAGGGATCCCCAGATCACTGGTTCTCAACTTTGTACTTAATGGTGGTTGTGAAAAGCTTTTAAAATTCAGACACCCTGTCCCTACCCAAGCCCAATTAAAGCATAGGCTTTCTGGGTAGAGGACAGGTATGTTTTGTTTTGTTTTGTCCTTAAATGTTCTCTTGCTGATTCCAAAATGCAGCCAAAGTCAGGAACTGCTAGTTACTTTTAGTCAATATTGTACTAAACTTCATAGCAACTTTTTAAAATTGGCTCTTCCTTCTTCATGGGAACCAGTTACCTTGGCTTCCACGACTCCATACTCTTCTGTGTTCTTCTTTTCTTCCAATTTCTCTATTTTACGATGTCACTAAACATAACACCTCCCAAACAGGACCCTTGATCTCAGATAGGTGCTTTTTGATGCCTTCTTTGCTTTCCTATGCAATGCAATATCTCCAGTTGTATAAGCCAGAAATCTGGGAGGTGATTTCAGTGCTGTCACTCCTCAGACCTCACCCACAAATCCAGGCCTTAGTCATATCCCATCTTGTCTACCTCCAAACACACTTCAAAGCCACCCTCTTCTCTATGCCTCCATAACTGCTTTAGGCATTTCTTGTCGCATCTTGTTGCCCTAAAACCTAGTGCCTTAAAACCATGAATGTTTTATATTGCATACAGCTTCTATTGGTCAAGAATAAAGGAATGGCTTACCTGGATGATTCTGGCTAGGGGTCTCTCATGAGACCAACATGAGATATTGGCCAGGGCGGCAGTCTTCTGAAAGCTTGACTAGCACTGGAAGATTGGCTTCCAGTGTGGCACACTCACATGGCTGGAGGGTTTGTGCTAGCAGGTGGTGGGAAGCTTCAGTTCCTTCCCACGTGGAACTCTCCACAGGGCTGCTTGAGTGTTCGCAGGACATAGAGGTTAGATACCTCCAAAGTGAGTAATCAATAAGAGAGCAAACAGGAGCCTGCAGTGTTTCTTTTGGCTGATTTTTAGTAGTCACACGCCATCATTTTTGTATGGTCTTATTGGTTACCCAGATTAACTCTGTTTAATGTTCTAAGGAACCACACCAGCATGTGAAAACTGGGAGGAAGTGGATCGTGGGGACTGATTTGGAGACTGGCTAACACAACTGCCAATACTCTAAGCTGTGCTACAATCATTTCTCACCAATAATATTAAAATACCCTGACTGATCACTTCTAACTTTGTCATTTCAGCGTTTTCTATAAAGCAGCCATAATGATGTTTTTTCCCCCACAATGACCTTTTAATAGAATTGGATCATGTCATCTGTCTGCTTGCACCCTTTAAATGCCATTATATTGAACTTAGAAAGTCACACTCCTTACTCTTCTCTGCAAGTCCTCAACATCTGATTCTAGCTTCTCTTTCAACCTCATCCTCCACTCTCTCCCCTCCACCACTGTCTTTGTTCAAGGCCATTCTGGTCTTCCTTGGAGCGTGCTCCTTACCAAGCCAGGCTCTCTCTCACTTCAGAGACTTTGAGGTGATTTCTTGTGTACAGATTGCCTCCCTCGCTCTCCTCTCAATCTGGCAGCTGCCGCTCATTCTTTAGGTCTTAGATACTTTCTCAGAGAAGACCTCCCTGCCTCCCAATCTAAAACTTCACCCAGTTACATTCATCACAATTCATAATGATACTTTGTGTTTACTTACTGTCTTTACCCATCATGGCAGCAGGTGCCAAGGGAGCAGTGAGTGAGCTTTGTTCAGATTCTACACCAGGTGCCTAGAATGCTGACAGGAAACTAGGAGATCCTTAATATTTACTGCAAGCAACGAATGAACGAATGATTTATAGTCTTTAAGTGAGGATTCCACTTGAACTCCCCCAGTTTCAATTTGTGTTTCTCTTAAGCTTTGCCATCAATTCCAATGCTAGAGGTGAGAAAATAGAGCTGGGAAAACCAGACACAAACAGAGAAGTTTAGACAAAAATGAAAACTATTCTCTCTTTATTCCGGTAATACTTTTTCCTCTAAAGCCTGAAAAGGATTAACCTTTTTAGACTATTGATTTTTTAAAAATGGTGCAGAAAAGATTTAAGAACATTCTGCTCTATTCAAAATGATTTCTATAAGTAGAAAAGGTGATCTAGAAAAGCCCCAAACCAATTACTGCATTTGAATCGATAAGTACATTTTATATTTTTTTTTGTCAGACACTTCTCACCAAATGGCTTAGAGAATATCATCTGTTCTTGTTTTTTTGTGCATTCCTACTCACACATATCAAATGAGGAAAAGCCCAAGGCGAGGTGCTCACATTTGCATCATAAAACACGTGGCACATTTAGAAATTGGCACTATAAGAGTAACTTTCATGCTGCAGAACACATTTATCTGCTGATGTGTGGTCTAGGAAGTGTTTTTATCCTACCAGTTCTGCCTCCCACCTTACCCTCCAAAAAAGAAACACTCTTTTTTTAATATATAAAGATTTTATTTATTCATAAGAGACACACAGAGAGAGGCAGAGACATAGGCGGAGGGAGAAGCAGGCTCCATGCAGGGAGTTCATTGTGGGATTTGATTCCAGGACCCCGGGGTTACACCCTGGGCAAAAGGCAGCCTCTCAACCACTGAGCCACCTAGGCATTCCCAAAAAGGAAACACTCTTGCAAAGTCATTTGTAAAGGGGTTTTTGAAACCCCTTGCTCGCTGCTAATGTGCAATTCCTTCATTTTTCAGAATGATTGACAATTTCTATGCATATTGGAGCCTGGGGTAGAGTTGAGACTTAAATAGAAGCATGGTGGAGTAAGGGGAGCCCTTGACCAGAGGGCACTGATTTAGAAGACTTGTTTCAGACACATACATAGCTGTATTAGGAGTGGCAGAGGGGAGGGCTAATATAGTCCAGTAGAAAGAAACAAGGAAACACCAAGAAACAGATGCAGGAACTCAGGAGTGTAACAGGGATGGATTAGCATAAGAATAAACCTCTCTACAGGGGACCAGGCACTAAGGAAGTAGTACATGCATGATTTTCAGTTGCTTACCAAGACTAAAATAATTTAAGTGTATATTACCTTACATTTTTGATGTGGCAGGAAAATCCCTTCAGGGATTTATAAAGCAACCGTATGGATTTGGGTAAGTATTTGATTCCTATTTAATTCTGCTGATTCTCCCCTTACCCTAGGAATTTCCTTGATTTTAGTAACACCACAGTCGCTGGCACTTTTCAAAATGCTTGAAGGGCAGCCCTTTTGTACTAGGGCCCATAACACAAACCAACTTAATCAAAAGAGAACGTGATGGCCCATGAAGCTTAGGACCTCCAGGGGTAGACCCAGAGAGACTGCACATAACACTTGAAGTGTGTCTCCTTCCTGGGCTTGGGGGCAATCACTCTCCAGTTCCCCTGCTCCTTCAGCTCTACTTAAATTTACATGAGCTCCAATCTCAGACAGAATGTGCCTGTACCACAGCACAGAGGTCCACCCATGGCTCCAGGCTCACAACCTGTCAGAATCTCAAGTGAAGAGGTAGTCTTTCCCAATCAGGTCAGTAAAAACCCTGGTTGGGTTTTCAATGGATCTGGTTTGGGCTTCTTTCTCCACCCAGTTTCTCTTTCTGTTCTCATTAGACTGCCTTCCTTTCATCTCTTGGAACAAGTCTGCCCTGCAAAATGCTATTCGTTCCATCAGACTCTTCTCTTCCATCAGGACCAACTTAATTCCCCATCCTTCAGATCTCAGCTAAAATGCCATTTCATTGGTGTGAAGTCATCTGATGTTGTAGTGACTCTTTCTACATTGTCTCAGGATAGGGTACCTTGCAGCTATACAAGGCTAGCACTGTGCTGATCTCCTGGGATGCCTCTGATTATGAGAAAACATGACATCTAGGACTTTATAATGTATGGTTTAAAATTCAAAATTCCTCTGGAAGCAACCTGTATTAACTAGACTTTCTAGGATGTATAGATTGATAGTTTGCATCTGTTTTAACAGGTCATACACTCTCCCTGCGTTTTCATATGCCTAGTGGTACAAAAGACCCTTCAACAAACATGTATCTGGGCCCATGCTTCTTCTTCTTCTTCTTCTTTTTTTTTTTTTTTTAAGATTTTATGTATTTGAGAGAGAGAGAGTACAAGTGGGAGTGAGGGGCAGAAGCAGAGGGAGCAGACTTCCTGTTGAGCAGGGATCCCAATGCAGGATCCCAAGATTATAACCTGAGCTTAAGGCAGATGCTTTCTTTTTTTTTAATTTTTTTTTTATTTATTTATGATAGTCACACACACAGAGAGAGGCAGAGACACAGGCAGAGGGAGAAGCAGGCTCCATGCACTGGGAGCCCGACGTGGGATTCGATCCCGGGTCTCCAGGATCGCGCCCTGGGCCAAAGGCAGGCGCCAAACCGCTGCGCCACCCAGGGATCCCAAGGCAGATGCTTTAACTGATTGAGCCTCCCAGGTGCCCCTGGGCCCAGTTATATTGATAGTATATAATCTGAAGATGAAGTGTATCCTATCCTAAGTAACTAGGAAAGGCCCTGGGGGGTGGAGGGTGGTATGCCTGGAATCTTAAAGCCATATATTATTGCCTATGCTCTGTCTTGCTATTATCATACCCTTTACCTGTATTAAAACCTATCATCAGCATTGGTGAGGATGTAGAGAAAGGGGAACCCTCTTGAACTGTTGATGGGAATACAAACTGGTGCAGCCACTCTGGGAAACTATATGGAAGATCCTCAAAAAGTTAAAAACAGAACTACCCTATGATCCAGCAGTCACACTACCAGGTATTCCCTCAAAGAATAAAAAAATACTAATTCAAAGGGATACCTGTATCTCAAAGTTTATAGCAGCATTATCTACAATAGCCAAATATGGAAATAGCCCAAGTATCCATAGATTAATGAATAAAGTTGTGACGTATATCAACAATGGGATATTAGCCATTAAAAAATGAAATCTTGCCATTTGCAATGACATGGGTAGATCTAGAGAGTATTATGCTAAGCAAAATAAGATAGCCAGAGAAGGACAAATACCATATGATTTCACTCATGTGGAATTTAAGAAACAAAACAAATGAGCAAAGGGGGGAAAAAGAAAATCAAACCAAGAAACAGACTCAATTATAGAGAACAAACTGATGGTTATCAGAGGGGAGGGGGATGGGTGGATGGGTGAAAGAGGTGACTGGCATTAAGAGTACACTTATAGTGATGAACACTGAGTAATGTAGAGAATTGTTGAAACACTATATTGTATACCCCAAACTAATATTACACTGTATGTTAACTAACTGGAATTTAAATGAAAAAAAAAAAAACCTTACATGAGTATATGCTGTGGAATCTTGTCTTATGATAATTATCCAAACTTGTGTGATTATCAAATATGTATTTTGTAGTTATTCTATTAAAACATGTCTCTGCTACCGAACTGTAAGCTCTACAAGGCAGGAGCTATGCCTGATTTTGCATTTTATTTTCTCCTCACATGCTTGATACGTGGCGAGTCAGGATTCAACCAGGGAAACAGAAAACCACTTTGAGTACAATCGGAGGGGAAATTAATGTAAGGATTTGGTGGTGCAGTTGATAGAAGTTGGGTAGCTACTAGGACACAAGAAGGCAGTCCAGATATTAACAAGCTGGCATCCCCAAGCTGGAGGGACAGGAGGAGGTGGTGATACCCCCAGAACCCAGGAACCAGTTTCACCTGGTGGGACCTGTAACCATGGTGGGGTGGTCAGGGGGGAGCTAGTGCCACAGGGAGACAGATACATCTATTGCATGGGAGCTGCCCAAGGCAAACAGAAATTTCTCTTATTCCTTTCTTTTCCAATCTTTTATGAGTGTCTGCCTTTGCCTAAATCCATCTGGAAGCCTGTTGATGCAGAAACCTGGGTATCTCTCCCTGATAGACCACGT